AGGATGATCTTCTTTACTGAGTCTACCAATTCAAATGCTAATCCCTTCCAGAAGCACCCTCACAGACACACCTAGAAATAATGTTTTACCAGCTATCTGGGCATCCCCTAGCCCAGTCCACTTGACACATAAAATTAACCATCACACTGCCTGACCCATGATAGAGGTGGACATGGAGCTGACGCCCCAAACTGTGCACAGTTCACCAAAGAGACACGACCCACCTGCTCCTAGACCTTACCTCTGGCTGTACAAAAGAAGAATTTCAACAAGTTTTGGGATTTTAAAAAATCAGCTATTCAAAATAACAGACAATCCACCATGCAGTTTCTAGGAGAAACTGGCTTCTTAAATTGAAAATTCTGTCCCATTGACTTCCTGAAAAGTGAAGGTGGATAGTTGCTGGAGAGCTCTGTGAGTGAGGTAATCTGAAATACAATCAGGCCCCTGAAGGGGGGAGGGGGGAGTCTTTCATGTGTTCCAGCTGAATGTTTCTATTTGGAGGGATTTGTATTTAATGGATGACAACTTAATGTGCCATCAGTGTCTGCGGTTGCGGTAAAGCTGCTAAAAGGAATGACAAACATTATATGTGCAACTTTCTATTTTACTGATACATTAACTTGTCTGTTAAACAGGATTTTTAAAAATCTTGTAAAACTGAAAGATCACTCCAGAGGATTCTGCTTTGTGGCGTCAGTGCCTTTGCCAGAACTTTTCAGCTGACTTTTTTTGTTGTTTTCCTTTTGCATCTCAGCAGGCTTTTTGCTTTGAGTTTTCCAGGAAGAAAACAGATTTCTCTATCAGGAAAATCTGCACTATGTACTCACTAGTCTGAACGAACAAACAAAAACACTAGCAGGAATACTATTTATTTAGAAGAATCGATCAATATATGTGCTCAGGATGTAAAACCACAAACTAATCCCCTTACCCACACTAGATCCTGCTTTTCCTATGATAATACCATCTGCCTGGACAGAACCCTTTCCCCAGAACTGCAAACGACTTGGCAGTGGTTAATACCTATAATGTATTTAGAGATAAAACAGATGTTATTTTTCTCCCTTTCTTTATATTTAAGGGTACTAAGACACAGAAAATCCACATTGCAAGTTGGGATTTCTCAAGGAGTGAACCATAGACATACTGGCCCATTACCAACTACTTCATCCAACGTATATAAAAATTATTTGTCATAAGCAAAAAGGCCATTTTTAGCATTCCTTGCTATAAATCCACATTATCCATGGCCACTCTTCATATTTTATGCTAGTTCATTTTCATATTTCAAATCCTCTGTTTTTTTAACAGAGGATTTACTGAATTCTAACTTGCATTTAGTATTGACTAAGATGTAATACTATGCCTACTTTTGTTCTAATGTCTGAAGAAAAAAAGGAAAAAAAGGTCAATAGAGATAGTGAGTCTTTTAACGTATGTGTGTGTGTGTGTGTTTCAGGACTTCAGAGAAAGGAACCTGCAAAGTGTTTCCAAACCTCTTCAATGATTGCAACTTCCCCAACATGCCCTTAGCATCTTCAAGTTTTAATGTGCTCTTTGCAAATAATCATTTTTTGATAATCAAGAATCCCTCCAGAATTGGTATAGTATACAGCAAACCAGAATGAACTAAACAAAAATCCAAGCAATGGAAACACGTCTAAGAAAATAAATGCATGGATAGAGAGAAGAGCAGCCTGTGATGCTCTCTACCACCCTGGGCTTTCCTATCCAAGATTAAGCCTATTGCTTCAACAGACCTTAGGAAGCTTGGGAGCAACTGTTTACCTAGTCAGTCACGAGCTGTGTGATCTTGAGCAAGCTACTTCATATCTCTGAGTTTCCATTCTCTCATCTGTCAAATGAAGAAATTTATACCTCTTTTATAACACTATAAGGAATGAAATTCTATAAAATAGAATGGCATAAAATACACCATATAGCACAGTGCCTGGTCTACCATATGCATTTAAAAATGAGAGCTATGATAATAATGGTAAGAAGTATTATGTTTCTTTCCTGTCTAGAAAAGATTGCTTATTCTTTTGTGAAAAGGTGTGTATAAATATATAAACATTTTTCATGTTCTCACCTATTTCTCTTATATTTCTCCCTTTATATATCAATATTGTTTCACTCTTTCTAAACTGCCTGGGTATCTATGTTTATGCATAGATAGTCCCCCCCCCCAGAAAATTATACAGAAAAGTATCAGATAAAAATTCTCACTCTTCCAGAGCACAGAACTATGGGAGAAAGAAATCTTTAATATGGATGAATGGTTTGCTATTGAATCAGTGGACAGGATTTGGGGACAGGAAAATCCTCCCTCACACCCTTTAGATTGCACAGATGGGTAACCAGATACTCAGCTCGGGATAGTTTCTCAGCACCACTTCCCATCTGACCCCTGCTGATGTCCACAGCCCTCCTTCTCAATACTTCCACCCTCCTCCCCATCACCCTGTCCTCTTCCTTTAATCAAGTGTTTACATTCCTGGTACACACCATGCTCCCTCTCACTTTATACCTTTGCGTATGCTCTTTCCTTTGCCTAGAATGCCCAGCTCCTATCTAGATTATAGCTAGTTGTCTTTGAAGATTCAGCTTAGCTCACCTTTTCTGAACCTGCCATAGCATCTTCCCCAGGACTCCCTCATGTGTGACTCCGGGGTGGGGTGGAGGAATGGCATTCACATGGCAGCCTGTGTGAACAGTACCTGCTGGAGTTGTCCTGTGCACAGTCTGCAGGACTGTACTTGGCCCTCCCATACTCTGCCCATTGCCCAACCTCCCTGCTTACTCCAAATAGCCTTGCAATGAAAATTTTTATTACACGGTTTTAATCATTTACTTGAAATCTTTTCTCCTAGGCTAAGAGTTTCTTAAGGCAGGAATATACATTCTATTTCTGCTTGCCAATACTTTGCACACAACAGGCACTCGATAAATATTTTATTAACTAGCCGACTGATGAATAAATGAGTTAACGAATGAATAAATTCAAGAGCTGAATGAAGGCATGACTATAGAGGTTAGGGGATAATAACTTGTGAAATTAACTCCATAGGGACAGGAAAGGAATAATAAAAAGGAGATCAAAATATATATAAAGTGGAGAAATGCTCCATTAATAGCCTGGTGATGGGCTCCCAAATATTACCTAGCAGGATCCACTTCCAGGTGGGTCTTTTGGGGAGGCCCTGGCCATCTTAGTAATAGGTGACTCACAATTTAGTAGGAAAATACACAAGCAGACAAAGGCAATATGATGATAAAAGTAGGCTTGTAAGAATCAGATACATAGGCTAGGACAATGGTTGAGAAAGTTTGTTTCTGATACCATCCTGGGACTCACTTATAACCTTTTAGAATTGAAGTGGAGTCCACGTCTATATATCCCAAGTCGAGAAGCCCTTTTCTCTATTACTGGCATCTCTCACTTCCTTTTGCTTACTGTTTAAAGTTTCAAAGCTTGCTGCACATCACAACCTTCTTTTTATCAGCTCTGGTGCACCTTAGAGCAGAAATTTTCCCCAGGAGGCCAAGGATACCAGAGCCTATATTTAGAGAGTACTTATTATGGGCTGGATGAAGGCCTGACTGTGCCTCAAGTCATGCTGCTTGAAGCCATTCTAATATTCATTTAGTTAGAACTGTAACTACACTGAGTTATTGCTGGTCTCGTATGGATTGTATATTTACAATCCGCTCCTGGCTTAGACGAGAGGATATATATTGTCTCTGCTGTACCCATCATGTCTTTTTATTTCATTATGACTATTGTGCTTAGAAGCATGATTTTCAATCTATATTCCCACTTAAATTATTTCCAAACAGTCTGTACATTTAAGCACATAGTTTTCTTTGAAGCAGACTTTGTTAAAATTGATATCTACCCTCTACTGTCTCTGCCTTCCAGGACTACCACATTGTCCTGTAACGAGAAAGGAAGAAACAATTTTTTACATAAATGGATTTTGTAACTTGGTATATAGATTTAACTGGCATGAAGTCCAAAAAAAGTTCTAGAAAGCATTAGAGGTTCTAGAAAGGATTAGAATTCCAAAGAACAACTTCAAAATTTGAACACCAAATTGAAGTCTTTCATCATATCTTCTCTGGATTTGTGGCCCCATGATCAATTGTCTGTCTAAGTATACTCATCCTATATTTATATAGACAAATGTAACAAAGTTTAAAAAACAATTTCAAGAAGCCAGTATAATTTCATCAAAGGAACATATGAGTGAATTGTTGAAAACCACAAAAAGCGACATGATTTAGATCAACTCCAAAATAAATGCTGCCTGTTGTCTGAAAGGACACTTGAGTGACAGGTTTCATGCACAAAGGGTCAGGGTATTCTCTGCATGAATATGCGTGGAAAACTGAGAATTAGGAACTAAGAGTTGTGAGAGCCAAAGTAAGGAGAAAGTGAGGAACAGCTGAGAAGTACTTTTAAGTCTGAGCCAAGGGGGACACGGTGTTAGCAGAGATTTCCCAGTGGTCATCAACACATATTCAAATAAAGAATTAGAGGAAGCAAGGAGAACTGATTCCCTCATCAGAATCAAGGTAACAAAAACTCAGACACAGAAAAATGGAAAAGAGACATGACATGAGGCCATGCAGGAGACTTTCTTGTTTGAAAGAAGACTTTGGTGCCAGAAAGTATGTAATTGAAACAAAGGCCTCTTAGAAAGAGTGAGAACGTTTTTGTTTTGTTTTGTTTTGTTTTAAATTATGAATGTTTAGTTTACTTCATGTTTATTTAGAGTTTATAATCTATATATTTGTTAACTTGGTATGGATATAGGTAAACAAATTCTATCAAGGAGTGAGGAAAAGTCAGAAAGTTTTCAGTACTAATGGAAATGAATGATCATGTTTATTTTAGTCATCATGAGTAATTCTTACGCCCTTGTTATGCTTGTTTGAGGATGTAAAATGACTAAATGAATCTAAATGACAACTATACTTTATTGATTTTGCAGAGTTATGAGGAAGATTTATGAGGCATGGAATAATACCCTGTTTGGAAGACAGTAGAGCGCATGCCAAGATGCCAGAGTGCCACTGAGGCACACGGACTCGTGCGTCTCTATTAAACTTCAAGGTTTGTCAGTAATATGAGGCCTTCGTTAGGTGAAAAGAAACTAGTGCCAAGAAGGCGTATTCTTCCATATTTGGAATAGACGCACTCTCAAGACAATGGCTTCAAAGGTCTCCTGTTTGTACGTTTTGACAGTTGTGTGCTGGGCCAGCGCTCTCTGGTACTTGAGCATAACCCGCCCCACTTCTTCCTACACTGGCTCCAAGCCATTCAGCCACCTAACAGTCGCCAGGAAGAACTTCACCTTCGGCAACATAAGAACTCGACCCATAAACCCGCACTCTTTTGAATTTCTTATAAACGAGCCCAACAAATGTGAGAAAAACATTCCTTTCCTCGTTATCCTCATCAGCACCACCCACAAGGAATTCGATGCCCGCCAGGCAATCCGAGAGACATGGGGGGATGAGAACAACTTCAAAGGGATCAAGATAGCCACTCTCTTCCTCCTGGGCAAGAACGCCGACCCTGTCCTGAACCAGATGGTGGAGCAAGAGAGCCAGATCTTCCACGACATCATCGTGGAGGACTTTATTGACTCCTACCACAACCTGACCCTCAAGACGCTCATGGGGATGAGGTGGGTGGCCACTTTTTGTTCAAAAGCCAAGTACGTCATGAAAACAGACAGTGACATTTTTGTAAACATGGACAACCTTATTTATAAATTGCTGAAACCCTCCACCAAGCCAAGAAGAAGGTATTTTACTGGCTATGTCATCAACGGAGGGCCAATTCGGGACATCCGCAGTAAGTGGTACATGCCCAGGGATTTGTACCCCGACAGTAACTACCCACCATTCTGTTCGGGGACTGGCTATATCTTTTCAGCAGATGTGGCTGAACTCATTTACAAAACCTCACTCCACACAAGGCTGCTTCACCTTGAAGATGTATATGTGGGACTGTGTCTTCGAAAGCTGGGCATACACCCTTTCCAGAACAGTGGCTTCAATCACTGGAAAATGGCCTACAGTTTGTGTAGGTACCGCCGGGTCATCACCGTGCATCAGATCTCCCCAGAGGAAATGCACAGAATCTGGAATGACATGTCAAGCAAGAAACATCTCAGATGTTAGGATTTTTACCGATGTAAATACGTTTTCATTTTTGTTTTTGTTTTTAAGAAATGGGGCCTAAGGTGTTGGTGTTTTACAGGTGTCACCAGGGGAAATAGACTGGTGAAGGGGTTTTGTATAGTTTTTGCTTCCTGCTTCTAGTTCCTTTCTTGGATTACCAATTTACAAATGTTAGGCTCTGGTCATAGAAACAATAAATGAGTTAGAAGGGCCAGATTTCATTCTCAGGTCCCAAGGCGTTGCCATTTATCTCGAAAAGTGACTGCCAAGCAACTCCTAGGATTTATGTACTGTGCATCTGAGATAAAAATTTGGTTATGGGAAACCGAAACTCACAGTAATGTCTTCATATCATCTCTGCAAAAATGAATAAATAAGTAAATAACTCTTTTTCAAAAACAATTCAGAAATGATGCACAGTCAGGAAGACACGCTAGATGTGATTATTTAATATTGTGTGTGTTGTTACATTAAATTTTTACATCTATTGCCATGTAATATGTACAGTATTTTCAGTTCCACCAAGAAATGAACTCAGTACTGGCAGGGAGGCTGCAGTTAAATAGATGGGGATTTAAACTTGAGAATCAAATATTCTGTAGGTTTAGAAATCAACTCTGCTTGCTCATCCAAGGATTAAACCTGGTCAGCAGGTGGGATGTATATAAAATGCTACTTAACAAAGTAAACAAGAGAATTTGTTCTTTTTCTTTTTTTTTTTCCTTTTTGCTCTTTCAGAACAAACATTACATGGTGCCTCCAAGGAGACTTTGCCAAATGTAATCTCACCTGCTTCCCTTCCTACAATGTCACTAAGCGCATTTCACAGTTTCTGGATCTGGTAGGCACAGGAATCCTAGTACAGAAAATAAGTTGGTAGGAGGCCAGAGAAAAACAAATCACATTGAGAAAACATAGATTTAGGTATGCGTTATAATTAACAAAATCTTAGCAATCATATTAGATGCCCTCCCACACATTTGCAAAGCACGTGAGAAAATCTTTAAGGGTTACCAATATTATTAAAAGATTTGCCCCTACTGTTGACAGATGTAAGACTCTCTAACACCCAAAAACATCCAAGTACCTTTTCTCAGCAATGCTGTTATGAGGTGTTCTGGGGGCTCTGTGATTGAGGTGGGGAAGCCTAGGTCCAAGTCCTGTTGATGCCACCGTACTTTTGAGCCATCTGAGCAGGCATCTTAATCTTGCTGTGCTTCAATATGCTCATTTGTAAAATGGCTGTAAAAAAAAAAAACACCTACCTCACAGGTGCTGTGAGAGCAAATTGCATATGCTAAGTATTTTGAGATCCTTAGCTTACAAGGTGCTACGTAATGCAGTGTATCATGCATTATGCTAAATGCTAAAATAATTACATAATCACAATGGTCATCAGTAGTAGAAACGTCATCTTAATATAAAATCTGCCAAAATAAAGATCAACTACGAATTATTAGTGCACCTAATTCTTCCAAGACTTTGGCTTTTCCTTGGCTATATGTTAGGTGTTTGGGAAAGCTTCGATTTCTCTGCCATTTCCTCTGGTTTCAATGAATAAGTCATTAGTTCAGTGTATTGCCTTGATATCCCAAGGTGCTGAAAGGGAAGGCAGCTGCCTTTCTTTGGGAAGGACCCTCTGGCTGGGGGTATATTACAGTAAGTGAAGCATATGCTTTGCAACGTGCATCGCAGCAACTTAGATCTCAGGAAACATTTGATCTGAATTCTCTCTCTAAGAACTTTGAGGACAGGTCAAGCTAGTCCACCTCTATCAGAAGAAGAATAGGCACTCAGCAAACCCACACATTGTTCATCTTCTACCATTCTTAGAAAACTCCTGTTTGTTCTCAAAGAAAGCCCCACAGCTAAAAGGGTATACCATTTTATTTATTTATTTATTTATGTATTTTTTTAACCTGACCCCTTGGAAGTTGACAGCAAACAGGTAGACATAATGAACAAAATGAAGTCATCGCCTATTTCTTGAAAACACTGGATGTCTTATTCCCAGCCCCAAAGAATCTGAGATAATTCTTCCCATTCCTTAATACATCTTCATCTCATGGTCAGCAAGACTGCTGATTTTGATTAGAAAACAGCATCAGGTAGCCTGGAGAGAGATGGATCAGCACAAGGTGAGTCACCTGCCCACCCCGCAGCCTTAGCGGCTGTGGGTTCCAAACACTGGAAAAGTCTCACAAATTCATCCTTGGTTCACCTTCCAGTCGTGCAGCCGAATGAAGCCTCTGTCTCATACTACTTCCTTGCATCTACCCCATGCTCGGTCCAGCCACCTTTGTTGTCAAGGAATTGCACATGATAAACACTATACATGTACATCTACGAATTGTCTTATATGTGTGTGTATACACTATGAATAGAGTCCTAATCTTTAAAAGGAACAAAAATCAGAGGATCGTATGTCTTAAAGAACTATTTCCTAACGTTTTTATGCTAGGTAGTTCCCATGTGACAAACATGTAAATATTCGTCAAAGACCACATGTATATATTTTAAAGGCATTTTTTCTTCTCCCCAACTGTACGTATAGCTAGAAACTGCTTGCTATGTAACATTTTCTTCTGCATGGAGCTTGGTGAAGCAAGGCCATTTGTCCAGTGTTTCAATAGCCTTAAGCATGTTTGCCTTTTGTTTTTTGTTTTTTGGGTTTTTTTTTGAATGTTCAAAAAATGTTTCAGTGAGCAAGAAAAATCTCTTTCTACTTTTGTTAATTTTCTGACCTGACAGTGGCCAAATTATTGTTTCAATTATTTGTTAAGCCACTCTTATCATTTCTCTGACATAAAATAACAGTGTTCTACCCAGAGTCATTCAGACAATTTTTACAAAAACTCTCTACCTTGCCACCTATTTGTTCCTTATGCACTGGAAAGTATCAGTAGTCAACCTCTGTGTTCTTAAAGTTTCTTTTTAAAATTTATCTTTGGGGAAAAAATGTTTTATCTTTGGGGAAAAAAGTTTTATCTTTGGTGGCTAGTTTGCGTGGCTTTGTGTCTTCTTACATTGGAGCAAATGTCAGTTTCAACATGTAATATTGTACTGTTAAATAGCCAGAATCAAAAAATGAAGATAATTTTCGATTTGGATTAAATTCTGAAGAACAAAAGCCCTCTGTGTGATATGATATGGGGAAAATAAACTCTTTACAGAGAAGCCAAGGAAGGAGTTTTTCAGTCAAATCTCTTCTATCAAAAGACAATGAAATATTTACCTAAAGTATCTGAGATTCATTTTTTATCTTTCCTAATATGTGGGTTTAGTGGGGGAATTGATTGTCATTTCTTCTGTAAAGGTGAAGATAGTTTTTATAAGCAACAGAGTAAGTTGTGAATGAAAGAAGTAATTTACTAGAAACGCTTGTTGATGATAATTGACATTTAGGTATAAGGTTATATATGAATGATTGTATTTATGTATTTATTTGTCAAAATTGTACATACTGTTTCGCCAAAAGTAATTGTCTGTAAAAGTGCACTCTCCAGGTTTGTAGTACTATTTAGGGTTACATGGGTTGCCAGTCAAGCTGCTAATCAGAATACTATTTTTTGTATCAATGTTATAAGACTAAAAATGGCAAATAGATGCTGAAGATGTTATTACATTCAGTTTCTTCACCTTCCTCTTGAAATGTAAACTGTTGATCTGAAGCACGATACTAATGTACAGGCCCATCTGTCATGAGGAAGATATGGCTCCATAAAGCTGACTTTTTTAAACCATTGGGACAAATAAACAGAAGGAGAACATATTTTTCCCTTTGCTTCTTTTCTGAAACAACCTCTTTGGCGCGACATGACTGTTAGAATTAGCTGACGGCCTGCCATTTATCATTACCTTTCTCCACGACCTCAATATAGGTAATAATTCAAGCCATTCAGAGCTAGTCCCCAACAGCCCAGGGCATCTTAGCAATCAATTTAGAGACAATTTGCTCTAGCAAGTAGACGAGGGGCTATCCTGGATTTAAGAAACGGGTATCTCACTTTTCCCTTGGTGGCCTTAGGGATGTGTTTTAACTAGCTTCTGTGTTAAACTCTATGGATTGAACATGCCAACGAATTCCAACTTGAGGGGACATTATATTGATAATGTGCTTGGTGAATTAGGGCACGTTAACTCTAAGGCAAAAATGTCATTCTTATGTTTCGCCCACATATATCCTTTGGAATTCTGTATACTACTTTAAAAGTTTAATGGGATTGGAAAAAAATCTATTCAAACATTCTTTACAGCAGACAACCCGACTGCTGATGCCCAACTCTGTAAGCAAGAGAGTAAGAGCTCTTTAAGAGACAAACGTTCTTTTTTATTATCAACCCTGTTCTAACTAAATAGGTGTTCACTTTTTAATGGAAATTTAACCTTGGATCTAGTCCCCATATACCTCAGAGTTCAAAAAGGTAAAATCTATCAGGTGAGCTAACTATGAATAAACAATAAAAACATAAAATATACAGGTGTGTATTCCATGTAACTTTTTCAAAGCACCAACATCAATAGTGTTCTAAAAGTATGGTCCCCAAACCAGAAGCATCAAAGTCATGTGGGGACTTGTTAGAAATGCAAATTCTTGAGCTCCACCAGACGCTCAGCAATCTATTTTAACAAGCCCTCGACGTGGTTCTGATGCCCACTGAAGTTGAGAGCACTGACCCAGAGCAGAGATTGGCTATTATGGTCTGCGAAGTAGATCTATCCTGCTGCCCACAAGCTCAGAGTGGTTTCCCAGTGAACATCTGCAATAATATGGAACCCCAACTAAGTGAAATGTTGTCCAGCAATAAAAATGCCATTCCTCTCAGTAGATGTGTATTACAAAGAATATGGTATTCAATTATTATTATATTTTGAATTCCATCAACATGAAAACTGTGGACATTTGCTTTCTCTCTTGTTATGTATGTACTATCATATATCTTCAATTTTGCTTCTTGGCCTTAAAATATTTATTATACAGCCCTTTACAGGAAAAGTTTGCCAAAACCTCTGACCTAGAGAAACAGAGAAACATCTGAAAAAGGTGCTACACATAGAATGCTTCCAGTAATGAATGAGGATTCACATGGGTAAAGCATCCTGGAATTGTCTCTCCATGCAGCCGGGGAAATGGCAATGTAGTCAAGATAATGCATTGCATTAAAAACCGACAGCTGCATATATTTTTAAAATATTTCCTTTTTCTCTCTCAGAGTGATTTTTAAAAATTATAAAAGCTTGATTCTAATTGTAACAATTACCCACAGCTTAATTAATATATTGCTTAAAGATGTGTGGGTATTAGACCTCAAAGGGTGGGTTTCATATAGCTCGATTATCATAATTACAAGCATTCTATTTTCTCATTTACTTAATTGATTGTCATAGATTTCCAGATGAATTCACACTGCTGGAAGAGAATTGAATACATTTCTAAGAGAAAAAACAAAAAAGAAAAACTGAAACGGGGCTGGCTATTCAGAAGAGCAATGTGTCCCAGAATATATAATCCACGTAAGCATGAAAAATTGCACTCGATAATATCTTTTTACCTTATTGCTGGTTAAAATGGGCATTTTTATGAAATGAAAAAGAAATGAATGAAAAAGTATTATTGATTCAACCATGTCTATAACAGCACTGGCTCTACTGTCTCTTCAGCCAGAGGTCCCCAGCGCTCAAGCAAAATTTTCCATTTAGTTTTCCTTATAGAGTCTATTAGTTTGGTACATTATGTCAACTGTTTGTTACGCCTCTTGTAATGACCTCAGTCCTCACCTGGAGGGTACATGGCATAAGAGGTGATTTATTCTCTCTCCGAGGTTTACTCCAAAGCGTTTACTCAGCAGCAGCTGCCCAATGTGGCGGGCTGGGCCGAGTTATGTGTGAGGTCTGTGAGGAAGACGATTTTTCAGCAGAGGCGAGGATGACCTCACCAAGCATGAGGTGAGGGGAAAGAAAGCATCAGAGAATTTCTCCCCTTGCAAAGGCTTAAATTTTCAGTGCCCATTCCTCTGTTTTGCCGTTGTCGTTGTCTAATCCTACCAACAGCCTCAGGGGATAGATGCTGCTATTATCTCCAGTTGATGGTTTAGGAAACTGAGGCAATAAAGGATTTTGTAATTTGCAGGGTGAATTCGTGCCATCTGGTTCTAGAGGCCATGCTCTTAACCAATATAGCATGTTGCCTCTCAAAAATAAGAATATACACCCCCTACCACCACCACTACCGCAAGGCCTTGGCCGCCAGTTCCTGAGATTCAGTGTAACTACTTTATTTAATTTTCTTTTCCGAGAAAGGGTCTCACTCTGTCACCCAGGCTAGAGTGCAGTGGCATCATCATAGCTCACTGCAACCTCAAACTCCTGGGCTCAAGCCATTCTCCTGCCTCAGCCCCCTGAGTATCTGAGACTACAGGTGTGCACCATCACACCAGGCTGATTTTTAAATTTTTTTGTAGAGATGAGATCTTGCTCTGCTGCTCTGGCTCATGTCGAACTCCTGGGCTCAAGCAATCCTCCCACCTTGGCCTGCCAAAGTGCTAGGATTACGGGCAGGAGCCACCATGCCTGCCCAGCTATTTTAATTTTTTCTTCAGATGGAAGAAAAAACTTTTGGAACTTTTACCCCTTTTTTAAAATTGAGTTATAATTTATATACTTCAAAACTCACTCTTTTTAAGTGTACAGTTCTATGGGCTTTGACAAATGAATACATTGAGGTAAACACTACCATAATCAAGACATAGAAAGTTTCTATTAATCCCCCAAATTTTCTCATGTGCCCTTTGTAATCAACGCCATCTCCTAATCTGTGACAATCACTGATCTTTCTAAACTTCTATTTTACATAAGATTTGCATGTTATTTAGTAGTCACCCTAAGTAACATTTAATGTATAAAAAAAATTTCTTTGGATAACCCATTATGTCACCTTAGTATCCAAAAAAGGGGGAAATCGAAAACGAAGAGGATAGAAAAAGAAAAAAAAATGAATCTTACTAGTTAAGCAAACATAAGTACAGATGGAATTTTAAAATAAACTACCACTGATTCAATAACATCCATGCCTAATGAATATTAATAAGAAGGTGCCAGTCAAAAATCTATAACCTCGCTCAAATTTTAGACTAGATCACTAGGAACTTTAATAGAGCTTCTATCCTTCAGAGCTCACTCGCACATTTCTATAGAGAGAACGATCTATAAGTTCAATTATGCCTCTTCCCTCTTGGAAGCAAAGGATCCTCTGGAGAGGTATCTATCACGAGCTAGCTCATTAAAAAGGCAAGCCCTCTCTGCACTCCAGGATTTGTCTCCACACTGCTTCAAACCACTTTTAGATGAGCTTTACTTCTGTGTCTGCTTGTGCTTACTTACTCTTGGTTTCCTTGACATATGCTAGTTCACGTTTCCTTCAGGAAAAGATAACTCACAACTACAGGCTTCTCTCCAAACTTTATCAATAGAAGCAGCATCTGAGTTAACTTAGAAAGCATGCCATTTGCAACAGCATGCCTGCCCCTCAGTCCCCCAGGAATCCAAACTACAGGGAGCATGGGTGTGGGACCAAAACAGGATACTGGGGCAGAAAGGACAGGATGAGGGGCATGTAGGCTCTTCAGCAAGGCTTCTCAGATTGTCAGGTGCTGGTAATTACCTGGGAATCTCGTTAAAATGCTGATTAGCAGTACTGGGGTGCAACTCACGGTTCTGATTTTCTTGTGAGCTCCCAGGCAATGCTGATGTTTCTGGTGCCTAGACTGCTCTTTCAGTAACAAGGTTGTAGAGTGCAAGGCTAGATTCTAGACAGAATTACTAGTATTCATTAAGCATCTACTTGGAGCCATACCAGAAGCTTTTGCCTATATTGCCTCTTTAAATATTTGCAAAAATTCATTGGAAAGGATCAAGGATTAAGGTGAGGTTTGACTCTCTAGTATAATTTTAGGTTAGAAACTCCTCTTTATTTCTTGTATATAGCTTTCTCTAAGACCTTATGGGAAAAGGCTGAGGTCCTAGAGGGACCCGAGAAACAACAGGAAGCAAAACGCCACACTATTATTTTGTTGATTCAGTGCCCAGTAGCCCACCAGTGGATTCTATGTTAAAACCAAGTTGGAGCACATGCCATAGCTCCCAGTCAAAGTCAGGCCTGATGGCTTTATCTTCCCACCCACGACCACTTACCAAGCCAATGGGTGGGCATAACATATAGCACCTAGTGAAGATGGAGAGGAGGAGCGTGTAGGGCCAGGCTACCAGGCTCCCGGCGCTAGAGCATGGAGACAACAGGAAAGCAGCAGAGAGAGCCACACAAGTATATCAGCTGTCAACAAATATTATCCCCACATGTGCATAAATGTGGCCAAATTATTGTCATAGAATATGACTGTTCAGATCAACAATATGACCTCTTGGGAGGAACAATGATTGGGACGGGAGAAAGAAAGCTTTAGGGGAGTATTAATAAGATACTACACGATCCTTTCCAAAAAAGGAATCCAGCATTTATTATTGTGACAATTTGGGGTTGAAAAATCTAGGAGTCAGAGAAATTAAGTGACTTTTCTAATGTGCAAAAAAATCAATAACTGAAAGATAGTATTCAAACCCCAGGTCTTTTGACTGGAGTCCAGTATTTTTTTCCATTGTATCATACTGCTCTCAATTCCATTTGCAATTCTGGAAATAAGGTAGGAAAAAACCCTCCTTGGTTTCAAAGGTTAGAATCAGCAATATATCCAAGGTCAAATGAACAGTCAGTGCTTG